ATGCCACTGGGCTAATGTCGAGCATTCTGCTGGTTTTCTCACAGGTTCGGTTGTGGCGGGGGGCGGTGCGTTCGAGGTGGCTCTAGCGGATGCGTTGGTTAAACACAAGCCCAAAGTAAAGGGCCGAGCCCAGCTGGGTGTGCAGGCGTTTGCTGATGCCCTCCTCATCATCCCTAAGGTACTGGAAAACAGAAATCACTTTTAAAAATGAGAATTGACAAGCTTCTAGTGTAAAGGTGCCTTTGAATTACTTAAGTTTATCTTCTTCTTGAAGGTTCTGGCTCAGAATTCAGGCTTCGACCCTCAAGAGACTCTAGTGAAGCTGCAGAGTGAGTTCAAAGAGACTGGAGAGCTGGTGGGAGTGGATCTGAGCACAGGCACGTGGAGAGACGCCTCGCATCATGGCAAAATTATTATGACATTTGTGTATTTGCTGAAGTTACTTAGTATTTAAAGATGTAAAATGTATAATAGTGTAAAAATCTAATTAAAGACACGTTATTCACTAAATTAACAAGGATCTTCGCAGTAGCAGTAAGATTAACCTACATGTGTTAAAACGTGTGTATATATATATATATTTACACAGATTTTTGTGAATGTCTTGCACCTGTGAACCCGTTTCACATGCTCGTACTCCTGTGTATGTGTGTTGGAAGAGAAGGTCTGTGTTCCTCCGGCTGTAACGCATCAGTGTTGTGTGTGCAGGTGAACCTATGATTGCAGGAGAGGCCGGTGTGTGGGATAACTACAGTGTGAAAAAGCAGCTGCTTCACTCCTGGTGAGTCAAACTCCACTGTTCCAGCAGATCACATGACTGACCAACACGTCACTGATGATCACTAGGGATGCAACGATTAACCGTGAGCCGGTCGAAAATTGATTCAAATCGGTTGAGATGCCAAACAAATCGCGATACAATTGGAGTAGGAGTTTATATGAATGCGTCTCTGAGGAGAACTGACTATCTTTAGAAAAGTTAACGTGGTATTTTATTTTCATCTTGCCTCTGAACGATGCATATTAAAGTAGCGTTCATAAGCGCAGCTCTACTTTGTTCACAGCGGTAACCCAGGAAACACTGTATCATTGCTGTTCATAAGCGCCCCCTGCTGGCAGAGAGTGAATCTGCATCTCATTCAGAGCTTCTGCAGATATTTTATGTAGTATAGTTTCACAAAACTAAAGTCAGAGCATTCTGTTTTTGCTTCAGATTTCGAAATTATACAGTCTAATTTAGATTAAAAACGACTATCTGATAATATCGTAACTGTTGTTTTAACAATGTGCAAGCTGACATTGTGTGAGTATATGCAAAAAACAAACAAAAACACATCTTTAGAGTCCAAAAGCATCGACTGTGTGATTAGCATGTCAACTCACTTTTATTTGTATTGCGCTTTATACAATACTGATTGTGTCAATGCAGCTTTACAGAGTCAAACAGGAAAATAGTTTGTCAATAATGAAAGAAGACTATAACAAAGAGTCAGAAAATGTCCCTGTATGGGTTTTTATTTATATTTATAAGATATGATATAGTTAAGTAAAATCACACAAGCAAGAGTACTGTTTTCCTGAATATCTGCATGTGAATGTGATACTGATTTTATACAGCAGTTCAACAAACATAAAGTGAATATTTTAGACACAATGTTTCGCCAATGAAAACAGTTCCAAACAAAGCCGGAGCAGAACATTTGTGCGTCTCAGAGCAACACTGCAGTGTTTTGTTCCTAAATTAATCTGTTTTTGAATGAATCAATCCATTCATGAAGACAATTGCTAGCTTTGTTTCTAAATGAATCGGCTGTTTTGAGCAAATCATTTGAATAAATGATTCCATTAATCACTCGTTAAGGTTTTGCTGCCACCTACTGGTGGCTTTAGTGTCATATTTATTCATGATAGGCAAAAACCAGCAAAGATACAAGCACAAAAACACGCTCCGCAAAATCATCATCCCAAAAATAGTCAAGATATTATTTTTTATTTTTCCTCAATATGTAGTGCCACTCTGTTCCTATGTTAGTGTGTTTTCATCTCCGGTTTCGTCGACCTCATCTGTTTCTCTCTCTCGTCTGCGCAGCACTGTCATCGCCAGTAACATCCTCCTGGTGGATGAGATCATGAGAGCCGGCATGTCTTCTCTCAAAGGCTAAATCTGCTCCACCATCAAGAAGCGGCTTGTTCAGAGAGGAGAATGAAGTGGTCCTGTCTGGACTCAAGACTACAATCCCATACTGTTGTCATTATATTTATGAGCTAGGAAACATTTCTCCCCTGCAGTCAGTTGGTTTATGTTAGAGGTTGTGTTACAGAAGCACTGAATTGCAATACACACTTTCCTTTATACCCGTTAATCGTTTTGCTTTTTTTGTGTGTGAGTGTTTGAGCATGTGTGAGTTTGAGTCAAATCAAGAATATACCGGTTGAGATGTGTTTGCTTTCTCCTCCACTGTGGCTTTTTCATCTCTTGGCGACCAGGAAATAAAATGCTGCTGGCTTTTTTTTTTACATGCACGGCTCTCGATTCAGACAACTGAAAAAAAATATGGTGTCCTCGGGTGGATCATGAAATTTCAGTATTTCCCAATGCAAGCAGACGGGAGCTGGTCTTGCAACTTCCTTAGAAAACAAAAATCAAAATCAAGTCTGATTTTCACAAAGGGTGAATTCCAGTGTTTTTGTGTTGAAAGGGGTGCATTCTAAAGTAAACTGACTGAATCCCGTTCAGGAAGGCCCCTTGTCGCACGATTTTTTATTTCTTGTAATTATACATTTCGATCTTCTGACGGCACCCATTCACTGCAGAGGGTCCATTGGTGAGCAAGTGATGCAATGCTACATTTCTCCAGATCTGTTATGATGAAGAAACTCATCTGCGTCTTGGATGGCCTGACGTTGAGCAATTTTTTTTTTCTTCTTTTTTTTTTTTTTTATATCCCTTTAATGCATACATACAAAAAACCTAATACGTTATGTCCAAATCACGACAGACAATCACAGAGTTCTTAAAAGAGTTTTTCAAAAAATCCTCGAGAATTGAACGACAATTTGTAACTATTTTACATTTTGGCGAATTGGTGGCTAATTTGTAGCCTATTTGTATGATTACATTTATGTAAAAGTGCTCGTAGTAGGCAAATCCTGCTTGAAGACCAAGCTGTCGCACGGAAACCTGTAGGCCGCTACCGTCCCGTCCACATTCAGCTGGTATTTGTGCTGGAGAGATTTTCAAGAGAAGAGCAGAGTAGAGATTGTTAGAGAAAAACACGTCACGGTTTACAGCGGCTTTTTCAACACAAGTCAAAGAATCCCACCCGCGGTGCTTTTCCCAGACCCTTCAGAAGAAGAAACACGCTGTTATTCCTGCGTCAAGCAGCTCTGGATGCTAATAATAAAAATATACTATATTCTCAAAAGTCTGAGAAATAGTGCGCATTCAGTATGGAAAAAAATATTAAAAATGTTGGATTTTAAAAAAAAATCAATAAATGCAAATAAAGTACAACTAATAAAAGATATTTCAGAATTTTGAAGATTGCAATATAGATAATTAAGAATGCACCAATTTAATAATAAAAATGCAAATAGAACAAGCAACGGAAGACCAAATATCAAGAAATTTGTTCATTTTTAATTAGTTAATTTTTAATTTTCACTCTGAAATGTTACAGCATTAATATCATTTCTTAATAAAATATAGCCAATATATTTTATATTGTGTTAAAAAAATATTTTTTTTTAAACCTAACTCAAAAACAGGATTGGATTGACGTTGAGATGTATTTGTTGATTTTTGGGCTAAATGGATAGAGAATAACTCCTGTTGAACTAAATACTTTTTGTTGTCATATGTGTTCTTTCAGGAGTGACCACCAAGCCCTTCTCTTTCGTGCTGAAACTGTTAAAGAGATTATTTTGAAGAGCTTGTCACTTGAGAAACTTGTTATTCGTGTTTACTGAATATATTTGTAAGCTGGAGAAACTGTAAAAGTGACGAATGAGCAGATGCTGTCAATAGTAGGCTATCCCTTTAAAATAAAAATGCAAATTAAAAAAAAAGAAATACCACATTTGCAAAAATGGTTTTAAATAACCTGTGCTTACTTTTCGGGCGAGAGAGCGCAGCATAGTATGGAAGTCCGTTTTACGCCACTGAATAAAAAATAAAAAAAGGTTATTGCTACTTTTTCTCTCAATTCAGAATTGTGAGATATAAACTATGCTCAATATGCTCACTGCGATTCAAAAGTTTGGGTCTGTAATATGATTTAATGTTTCTGAAAAAGCCTCTTCTGCTCACCAGGGCTGCATTTGTTTGTTTAAAAATACAGTAAAAAAAATGGTAAAATATTAGAATTTAAAACAGCTGTTTTCTGTGTGAATATCTGTTAAACTGTAATGTATTTCTGTGATGCGCAGCTGTATTTTCAGCATCATTACTCCAGTCTTCAGTGTCACATGATCTTCAGAAATCATTCTAATATGCTGATTATTAGAGACATTTCTGATTATCATCAATGTTGAAAACAGTCGTGCTGCACGATATCTTTGTGGAAACAGATGAATAGAAAGTTCAGCATTTATTTGAAATAAAACACGTTTTTATACACCAGCACTAACTGAAATACTCTTGTACTTAGTGAAGTCCTTTTTTTAACTCTAAAGTCTGAAGTTAATAGTTATTGGATCTTGTCATACTAGTTCAAGAGAGGGAGAGGCTTTGGTTGTAGGCTATTCCAGGTAATAAGAGTGAACGCTTGATGTTAGAAATGTTCATGCAACATGAATTATATTTTGTGTTGTTAAGCTTTTATCCCCCTATAAAACATCACTGTAGATGATAAATGCATCAATCAATCATTTAGTTATTGAGGTTCTAATCACCTGAGCCGATTCTGCACGAGATGCAAAGCCCTGCTGAATGTGAGATGAAGTCGCAAACAAACATTTCAGATCATCGCACTTGCGCTTCCATACTTCCAGAGACAGTAGGGTGCATTCAGACGGCTTTATTAGAGCATGCACAGATATGACTGGTTTACAGCGGACAGTGTGAATCAGAGCTGATAAAAGCGCTCACTGGAGCATACGGTGTCAGGATGCTCGAACAGCACCCTCCATACAGCGGTCTCTGAAAACAAAACGCATATCCGGAGTTTGTATTCAATCTGAGCCAATAAATTAAGATGTACACAGATAGCATTGCATTTAGTGTTTAGTCTGTAAACTTACGCTTGCACAGCCCACTCCGCTGCTGGCTGACCTGTGGAGAGACGTCCCAGATGAGTGAGCAGAGCTCGGACACAGCTGGAGAGGAGGACAGAGCCACACAGCTGGAGGACACACCTGCAGACGTCTGCCGTACACCTGACACACACACACACACACACACACACAACATCATCTGGAGCTGGATTACAGTCCTGGGTACCTATTATGCAGGACAATAAATCATCTATTAATTAAAAAAAATAATTTTTGTGCTGTTAGCTCTTTTTGGAATAAAAGTTTGTTGATATATGTATATATATATATATTTTTTTTTTTTTAAATAAAATTATATTATTCTTTTTTATTATATATATTTTTTTTTTTGTTTGTTTATTTATTTATTTGTTTATTTATTATTTTGTTGTATTTGTTATTTTATTGTTATTATTCTATTTTCTCTCCGAGTATGTTACCATGTCACTCCAGCTGTATGCTTCATTAGAAGGGATCTCCACTGGACTGCCATTTAAACTCAAAACCACATCATCCCGGCGCACAGCATCTGCACTGTAGGGGAAACAATGACGGGAAATAACAGAAAAATCTCAATAAAAGTCACAATTAAAAACACATGACATTACAACATGCTAAATATCTCTCTCTCTTACAAAAAGAATACCATTCAAAAGTTTGGGGTCGGTTTCTGAGAGTCTCTTCTGCTCAAGGCTGCATTTATTTGATCAAAAATACAGTAAAAATTGTAAAATATTATTAGAATTTAAATCAGCTGTTTTCTGTGTGAATCTCTGTTAAACTGTAATGTATTCCTGTGATGCGCAGCTGTATTTTCAGCATCATTACTCCAGTCTTCAGTGTCACATGATCTTCAGAAATCATTCTAATATGCTGATTTGCTGCTCAACAAACATTTCTGATTATTATCAATGTTGAGAACAGTTGTGCTGCACAATATTTTTGTGGAAACTGATGCATTTTATTTTTCAGGATTCACAGATGAATAGAAAGTTCAGAAGAACAGCATTTATTTGAAATAGAATCTTTTGTACCAATTTAAACTTACGTAAATGTGACTTACTGAATAAAAGTATTAATTCCTTTCAAAATCTTACCGAGCCCAAACCAGTAGAGCGTGTGCATAAACTGAAGCTGATCAAATCCTCAGGAGAAAGCACTATGAAACCATCCATCTCAAGGGAAGACATTCCAAATCATGCTATCTGTTCCAAATAGTCTGCATTATAATTAGTATGTGCCAAATCATATATATAATGAAGAGTTCATCTGTTCATGCTTCGAGCAAATATTACCCACAAAGCAACAGAAGAGGAGAGTCTTGAGATGGTTGAATACTTTACTTAAATAATGATTTTAGGTACTCCGGGGAAGCCAGACACATCTTTTGATATCTGAGTATAGGCTTTCTAACATACTACACACTCAGAATGATGTATTTTCCCATCAGCAATGAAGTACATACTTGCAGTCTGTCGTTTGGGCTCATATTATTACTATAATCCCCATCCTGCCAAACTCTGGCATGAACAGAAGCGGTGGAGTGTGTTTGTAAAGGGACACACCTGTCTGCTATCAGTCCTGTCCCTGTGTAGTACGCACACGCCTCATTTCTATGATAATGTCCATCTAGAAACAGCACAGCACAAGCGTTCGGTCACTGTGGACGTTCAAGATAACGTGTCCACCTTCAAGTCAACACCTGTTTTAGACGTTACCCACCGGTTTTACGCTGTAACTTGATGGGCTGCCCATAGAGCCAGATTCCATTGAGAAGTTCGACTGCGTAGGGAACAGCTTCAGCGTGCTTATAATAAACACATCCATATGAAGCCTGCGCTCCATCTCTGAAGATACGCACCTCGTCTACCGGCCCGGCCTGAAAATATGGGTTTGAAAAGAGGATCACACATTTCCCACTTCAACAGAAACAAAAAAAATTATTATTTTGTATGTATGCATGTGTGTATATATATATAATTACTAAACAGATAAATAACCATTACAGCTATAAATGACAATACATAATTAGAAAAATATTCAAAACATTAATAATAATAACAATAAACTGTAACGACAATAATAAATTCCATTTAAACAAATAAATAAATATATATTACATAAATATATTAAACATTATTATAAACATTAACACTTTACAATTTAAATAATAATAATAATATTAATAATATCTAAACAAATAAATAAACATTATAACAATTATAAATGACAAGTAAAAATAAAAAAAACATTGATGATACTACTACTACTACTACTAAACTATAACCATAATAAATTACAATTTAAACAAATAAATCAAATATAATATATACATATAAATATACATATTAAATCTAAATATTAATACATTACAATTTAAATAATAATATCTAAACAAATAAATAACTATTACAAAAATTATAAATGTCAAGCAAAAATAAATAAATAAAACATTATTAATAATAATAAACTAACAATAATAATAAATGACATTTAAACAAACAAATAAATACAACACACTAACAAAACAAACAAACTTTGTAGTTCTACAAGAGATAAAAGTATCCAACATTACTCTTTAAAAGTTTGATTCATTTTTAGGTCCATTTTTTTTACTTCAAATCCCACAAAGCGTGTCTAGTTTAACGATTACAATATTATTAGTTCCTCGGCTTGATGCTCTAAACGCCAGTAAACGAACCAAAGAAATATGCTGCAAAAATAGATTCGTCAAGAGGACAAGACAGTTATTGTCACTGCATATCAATAATCACTGCAGGAGTCTGAACAGGTGGATGATGAAGAGCTCACCTGCAGGAACAGCTCGAACAGAATCTCCTCTGTCACGCAGCTGTGGATGTTCCCCACGAGGACCGTCTTGTCCAGATCTCGGTCTCGATCAAACATGCTCTGAAGCGACCGTGAGGCTGCTGACCGGAAGCGCTGGGACATGCGTCCTGCCCTCGTTTATAAGCTGAAAAGGATTGCGACAGCGCAGTGCTGCAGTCAGCCTCCAGAGGGCGACACACATCTGGACTACATGCGTGTCCTTCCTGAAAGAAAAACAAGCGCTGTTGTTATTTAAAGCGCACTTTTCACTCGGACTCTTTTCACTTTTCATCCACTACAAATCACCTTGACAGCATCTGATTGAGACTTATTGAAAAAAACAGCACGCCACTTGATTTTTATTTCTAGGCAATGAAATGCATACACGCTAACTTAATAACTTTTTTTTAATTCCAAAAACAGATTAAAATAAAAACTGTTTATATATACCATTTTAATGCTATTTTTAAATGTAAGTTAAATGCATCTTACAAGAAATTATATATAATGAAAGATGATGATTATGAGCACAACTTAATAACTTTTTTTTAATTCCAAAAACAGATTAAAATAAAAACTGTTCATATGTACCATTTTAATGCTATTTTTAAATGTAAGTTAAATGCATCTTACAAGAAATTATATATAATGAAAGATGATGATTATATAAAGAAATATAATGTATTAAATAATAATCATACAGAATTTTTAACAATAATTTGTATATAACTTATACCCATCATGCATTATTAATTAGAATCATTTCATAGTTTTGCAAAAGTGATGTTGGTCGGCTTAAAAAATAATATATACATTTCCATCTGAACTGCGTTGTTAAAAGTGAGCTTTTCAAACATGTTGATAGTTTGTGATGAACTACACCTGACTTCGTCCACTAAACATTAACAACTGATTAAGAGTTACTGCGAAAATAATAAACATGGTGTTTGGAATTACAATAAAAACATATTTTTCTTTTTAATGTTATTTTGAAAATACAATTAAATGCAGATTACAAAAACTGTATGAATATATATATATCTATATTGTATTATGAATATTTTAATTTCACAGTTTCCCACGTGATGCTGGTCATGCACGCAATCCGTCTGAGCCTCGACACTCATTCAGATCAATGCAAAGCCACCAAATGCAGAGCCTATAGCTTCACGCTTCGTGTCTGTTCTTGCTGTTGCTCGCCGCAGGTGGAGCAGAGGGGTTTGAGGAATGTGCCTCCTGTAGGTGGATGTCTGCAGGAATCATGGGTGGAGCTGGAGTGAAGGAGGAGCTGTGTGTAAGTGTCACCTCACTGTTTCCTGGAGTCTTCAGATGATTATCAGCGACCCGACAGTTTAGACAGAGACTGCTGCTCACTCGTCCAACATGGTAAGACATCCTTCACGTGCCATATGCCTTGTTGCAGTCAGATAGTGATGTGTTATGATCGTGTAGTATGTGCTGTTTGTCTGAGTGTGTGTTTATGGTGTCCCCTGCTCATGAGAGTTCATGGCTGTGTGTGTGTGTGTGTGTGTGTGTGAGAGTGAGTGCTCTGTCGGATTCAGTGCTGCTTCATGATTTCACTGAGGACACGGTTGGTGTAAATGTTCGTGGGATTTCTTCTGCTTGTTTTGATCCCCGAGACTGCAGCTTCCTTTCAGCTTCAGACAGTTCAAATGCAGAGTCCCTAAAATGTCCCATTACACAACCGCACAATGACTCTCCCCAAAAATAACATACAGAGGGTTTGTGTGAGTTACTGATCAATAATGGGAATTTCTATTGACTTCTGTGGGTTTAATTCTGAGCTAATAATATTTAGTATGTTTTGGATCCCAAAACCTGTTCCTCACACGAGCCTTCTTGCTTTTTCAGTTTGAATGAAAACATTGTTTATCAATATTTGCAGTAAACGTTATTTGTCTTTAGTAAGCTGTTTTCTCATGGGAAATGCTTTTAGTTTTAGTCTCCTTGTGACCACATTTGGTCCCCAAAACGTAGGCAAAACCTGACACATACACATCATTGGTAACTAAAACTGAAGGCACAAAAATAAATAAAGTAAAATTAATAAATAAACAAGTAAGTAAAGAAATAAACAAACAAACAAATACATTGTATTTAAAAAAGAATCAGCTAGTTTCCAAAACAACGTTTAGTTTAAGTTAAAATAAACTAATGAAATAAAAAAATAAATAAACAACATGAACTTTATGAAAACTGTACAGACATATTTAAAAGCCAAATAATAAACTAAACACAACAAAATCACTACAACTTTCAAATGAACCCAAAAACTGAAAATAAAAAATATTATTCAAAACATAAACAAAAACAATAATGGTATATCAATGATACCAAAATAGCACACACCCTGTTGACCAGTAATGAGTTTCATGGAAACTGTGTGTGTGTGTGTGTGTGTGTGTGTGTGTGTGTGTGTCTGTGTGTGTGTCTGTGAGTGTATCTGTGAGTGTGTGTCTGTGTGTGTGTGTCTATGTCTATGTGTGTGAGTGTGTGTGAGAGTGAGTGTGTGTGTGTGTGTGAGCAGGGGTCATTGGAAACTTGTGGTTTCATAATGAGCAAAATAAGTGATGTGTGGCTTTCCAAAAATTGCTTAATAGTTTTATTTGGCTAACAATAAAAAAGAAAGCAGAAGCGTTTTGCACTACTGCTCTATAAAACCATACAGCATTTAAAGCGAGAGAAAAAGCTGCAAAGATGAGAAGTGTGTGAGATCCGCTGTAGACTGAGGTTCCTGTCTCCCTCGATGCAGGTCTGCAGGACGCTCTGCTGGAGGCTCGTGTTTGTGACGCTGCTGGGGTTTGACGCTCACAGAGGTAATGTTGATCCAAATCCACATCAGCTGCCTTCCATGTCACCTTTCTGCCTTTGTAATGAACTGTTTAGAAGAAACCACATGACATTCTTCCAAATGCTCATATTTCATCGTGGTTAACTTACGCAGCCTGAAACAGCGTGAGATAATGAGCTGTGAGTTTCTGTATTACTCACGGTGGGTGCTGTCTCATTTATGCTGGGTGTTTCTGTAGAAGTTCTCTTGAAATGTTAACACAACTCCACAGATGTAGCATTAGTCCCACTTTTCCTGTAAATACCAAAACACACACACACACACACATTTTTTCCACTTATTTTCATGCAGTGTAGATGTAAATAGAATGAATGTTAGGCCATTTGCAGTGTTGTGGAAAGTTACAATGTATTACAATATTGTGTTACTCCCTGAAAAAGTAACTAATTGGGTTACTTAGTTACTTTTTATGGAAAGTAATGCGTTATGTTACTTTTGTGTTACTTTTTCTCATCTGGGCTGGGTTTGCGTGTATATTCTTTCATTTCTTATATCATGCATTGTTCAATTCATATTTAAAATAATTATGCAATTATGCAAATGTATTTGCTTGAGATGCAGAATGAAAATATTAAGTGTTTTCTGAGATATTTAGCAAAATTAAGTTTATGCTTAATAACAAGAAAAAGTTGATATTCAAGTTGATTTTTTTTTGTGAGTCCACTGGCAGATATTTGTTCTTGTTTCAATCATAAATTCTCTTCATTTTGATCAATTTCTCAGAAAAACAAGAATTTTGTTTGTTATTTTGATTCTCACATAAATGTATCTTGATTTAAGAATATCTGCACTGGAAAACAAGACAAAAATCCTGAGGGAGAACAGAAATATTTGATCAGAAGTTACAGTAAAATGTATTTCTATATTCTAGTGGCAAGGCTATTATAGTTAACTAGAACTGTAAAAAATAAAAGTAAACTGAGATCATCTCATATATATATATATATATATTTATTTTTTTTTATTTATTTTTTTTTTTTCTTTCAGTTAGTTGCCACAGCAACATTTCTCACTTTCGTTTAGTTTAACTTGAATTACTAAAAGAACTAAAAGTAAATCAACTAAAATTAATAAATAAATATTATTACAAACTATAGGCATTTAAAAATTTTTTAAAAACAACAAATTTACTACAACTTTTACTAAAACTTGTGTTCCCTTCAATTTACTTCTTAAATTTTCCTTACTTGGCCTTAAAAAGGACTTTAGAAGTCTTAAATGTACCTGCAGGAGCGTCGTATGGCTCAGATAAAGCTGTGATGGATGTGTGCAAGCAACAGAAGACTTGTGCTGCATGAGAAACACTGTTTGCATTCTCCCTGCAGCTCAGGAGTGTGAGGAGATGACAGACCTGGATCTGAAGCACTCTCTGTCTGGGACGTCTCTGAATGTGAGGCTCCTGCTCTACACTCGGGTCAATGTGTCCTGCGCTCAGCTGCTGTCCCATCGAGAGCCCTTCAGAAACCCTCGCTTCAACCTCAGCTCCCCGAGCACCTTCCTCATCCACGGCTACCGGCCCACCGGCTCGCCTCCCGTCTGGCTCACTCAGTTCGTGCAGCTCCTCCTGCAGCGCCGCGACATGAACGTGATCGTGGTGGACTGGAACCGTGGGGCCACCAACATAAACTACTGGAAAGTGGTGGATAACACACGCAAGGTGGCTGCAAACCTCACCGACCTCATCCAGAAAATGGAGGTAAAAGAAAAGTTCCTCAGTGCGATCAAGTCAAGTCAGCTTTATGAGACAATAATGTCATCATTCAGCCTAAATTAGTTCAGTATTACTGAGTTTTCTACTCGACAATGATTATGGTGTATTTCATTGAAATTGTAAGTAGATGCTTATCAGGTTATTTATTTTTGGGTTATTATCTGGTTACAGATGGTTATGAATCTTTTTTCACTACAAAATGTTAGCACTACAGAAGCCCACAATGCTAATTTCTAATGCATAATACTAATACTAATTAAATGTCCCTTGATTATTGGACAAGTGTTGGACGCCCCATGAAATCTAAATTATTTTGTAGATTTTAGAAATCTAAAAGCAAACGCAAAATTAACATTTAACAGCTATTCACTTTTAAAGTTGCATTGAAAAGAACGTATCAATATATATTTTCTTTGTGTTATGAATTGCATCCAAGCGTAATGGATTATTGAAAAAGAAAAGTAAAATGTTGGGACAAGGTTCTGTCCATCCGTTGTTGACTGAATTTTGAGATGCGCTTGTTGACTTCAAGAATAAACGCAAGCTTGCAGTCAGTAGCATAAGCAGTGAGAGAGTCCTGACCTAATAGCACCCTGCCAATCAGCCAGCAGAAAACGTCTCGGGTTACGCATGCAGCCAAGGTTCCCCGAAAGGGAACGAGACTCTCCGCCCCCTAGGGGGCACATTGGGGAATGCAGCCTGCATGACCGGTGTCTGAAGCACGTGTGAAACAACGCCAATCTATTGGTCCACCTGGCCCATGACGTCATAGGCGGGATGCCTGGAAGTATAAAAGGGCACCTGCTGAACACGTCATCCACTTTAGCTGTCTGAAGGAGATGTAGACAGGCAGGCCGAAGGCATGGCAAGGGGGCGCAGCATCTCGTTCTCGTTACATGCTTAACCCAAGACGTTCCCCTTCTAGGGAACTCAATGCTGCGGAATCCTAGGGGGCACATCGGGGAATGAAATCCAACCACGCCGTGCCGAGGCACATACCTCTCCACCTGGTGGGAGAGCACCAAGGAAGCGACAGACATAAAACAAAACCTTTCCTCAGAAAGGGGCCATGCCACTGACACCACGGGTCGCTCACGCAACTTGGCAGAAATGGGGGAACCCGAATAGATCAAGTGGAACATCCCAACCAAGTTAAGAGCACAGCTATCCTCAGATAGTGAGCAGAACTAGCCTGGATACACAAGACCACTGAAGAGGCTAACTAGAGAGCCTCTAGAGGAGCTCAAGAGATGATACTTAAATCCCAGGTAAAGAGAGTAGCTGCTGAGCTAGAACACGGCTATCCGCAGATAGCTATGTCCCTAAAGTCTTATGAAGGCTTGTGGACCAGAATAACATAGCCAAGATAGCCTTCCTACAGAGCTGCTCAGATCACAGAGAGTGGTCTATCTACTTACTACCCTAGCAGGGGAGATAGCACTGTCTAGGCAAGGGCTCAAAGAGACCGCTACTTAAAGACCCTAAAAAGGGGAGCAGTCACTGAGCTAGCACACAGATATCTTCAGATAGCTATGTACCTTGGAAGGGCTACCAGAAGGGGGACGGACTGAAACTATCCAGACCACAAAGAGTGGGCTGTCTACTTACGACCCAAAGAGGGGAGACAGTACTGTCTAGGTAAGGGCTCAAGAGACCGCTACTTTAAACCCTAAGCAGGGAGCGATCACTGAGCTAGCACATAGCTAGGAAAAGGGCCCACTCCATGAGAGGGCTCAACGCAATTGCAGTAGAACACAGCTAGCCACAGATAGCTGTTTTCAAGTAAGCCCGTCCTGCCAAAAACAATGGCTGGAATATAACCACCCTCAGAAGGCTATATTAAGGAGGTAAATGATTCGCTAAAGAGTGAACACAAACATCATAGTCCGAGATCAAGCCTGATGTAAGCAGTAGCCATAGCACTAGAGGGCTGGACACAGCTATCCTCGAATAGCAGTTCTCTCAGATAAGGCTGAAGATTGCCCAGGCCACGGAAGTGGGCCATCTATTTAAAACCCCGAAGGGAAGACAGCACAGTCCAGGCAAGGGGCTCACGGAGACCACAATCTAAAAACCCTAAAAGGGAAGCGGTCTCCACGCTGGAACACAGCTATCCTCGAATAGCTGATTCCTAAATAAAGGCTTCAGCACTTACTCGAGAACTTGTGCCAAGGGGAACCCAACCTAGTTATCAGAAGCTAGGCTAGAATATAGCTGCCCTCAGACCGCCATATTCCAGAGCAAAAAGATATTCCCCATAACCCCTCTAGGTGCTGAAACCCCCTGGGAGAGAAAACTCGCAAGCCTCTCTCCACAGAGTATTTAAATATATTCACACCCAGCGAGGCTCTCCACACACAATAACATGCATATTAGAGAGGCACGGCCGAGCTGAATATAGCTCCACCCACGATCTCGCAGGATCAGGGTTGAAACGACTCTGTGCTCACACTTCATCATCATAACAACCCAACAATATCCGTGGCGTCTGACAACCCGTATAGAGAGGGTGTGTGAATGCCGCAGATCAAAGCGATGACTGCGAGGTGAGATAAACTGACAATTTTGTGTCTGGGCAACAGACACAAAAACTCTGTTCCGTATCCCTCGGAAATAGAAACAAACGCAAGCGGAGCCTAGACATCGTGACTCATCACAATGAGCGTGTAACTCTGAAAGCGTGTGCTCTTCGCCGAGACAAATGTGAAAGCAGAACATGCCCTCGAGTGTTAGAATCCAAACACGGAGGCACACATCCCTAAGGCGCTGCTTGACTTGAGCGCTATCTGATCCGATAACCCAAAAAGGCCATCTCAATCCCGCGATCCGAGTTTTCGCCGTGCCTCCGCAACAGTGGGACCCGAACCGCGAGACGCAAACGCTTGTCACTCATCTCTCGAGAAGAGGGACAAACGCGAATGGAGCTTCTAATTGGATAACACTCACAATGAGCGCATTCAGAGCCCTCGAGCACTGAACGCGAAAGCTCCTGACCAAAAACAGATGACAGATAGATCGTGCACGCAGGGCTGTTCTTAGCTGATGTGGGGCCCGGTGCGAGGTAGGGAGCGGGGCCCCCCTCGGGGGGTTTACTAGTTGCACCCCCCTAAGGACGACCCACAGTGCACGTCCTCAAGCGCCAGAAACCTCTGGAACGGAGGCACACACTCCCACACCGCTCACCTGCCCTGGTCTATCACACGCACTTTAAACAGACGGCTCCTGAAGACAGCAAAGTGGATGACGTATTCAGCAGGTGCCCTTTTATACTTCCAGCATCCCGCCTATGACGTCATGGGCCAGGTGGACCATTAGATTGCCGTTGTTTCACACGTGCTTCAGACACCGGTCATGCAGGCTGCATTCCCCATTGTGCCCCCTAGGGGGCGCAGCGTGGAGTTCCGTAGAAGGGGAACAGGCCATTTCATTCTGCAGTTCAAAGCAGGCTCATTTTTATACAATTATAGTTTTTGCTAGTATTTTGAATTAGATTTTATTTTTAGATTTTCTGTTTTTAATTTTGCTTACAGTTTTAGTCATTTTGTTGAGTAGTTTGTCAGTTTTATTATTTTTTTTAATATGTCAATATAGTTTTATTAAGTTTCACTTTTTAGTTTTAGTTATTTTAGTACTTCAACTTAAACTAAAGGAAAATGACAAATGACAAACTAGCTGAAATAAACAAAAAAAAAATTTCAATTACCCTCTCTACCCTAAATTTAAATAAATAAATATGTGCTAGGAGCTGTTTAAAGTTGTGCTGGTTCTTGAGCACGGGCAGCAGGTTTGTCTGTGCACAGGTGAAGCATGCGTTAATCATTAACTTATTCAGGTGGAGACTTGAATAAACAGCTAGTGACCGTCGTTATTTTAATGCAGTCTTATGTTGACATAATGCTCATATAGGTAACTTTGTCAAGGTGTGTGTGTGTGTGTTTTAAACAATAATTATGAGCATGCATAAATCATTTATAATAAACACTGCAAAATTCTACACAAAAAAATAAGAATGGTCCATTTTGATTTAGTGTTGTCTTTTATTTTATTTTATTTTTTCATTATTTTTTTTTATTAACCCTCTGGGCCTCTTCATTTTTGGGTCACACTTGGTACCTTCATGGTCATAAGGGACCAGAGCCTTGAAATGGAAAATCAATGTAATGTAGCCTACTTTTGTTTATATTTTTTGATTATTATTTATAATTTTGATACTATGCAATATTGATACATTTTTATGAGCTGTTTTTTCCATTAAAATTAATGTAATTTGTTTTTATTTTATTTTGTATTATTTTTCAATCAGTGCAATATTTCAGATTAAAATAAAATGAAGGCCTTTAAAGTAAATGTTTTGAAGTAAGAATAGTGCCATCTGGAGGCGTTAAAGATAAAAACTTGTGTAATGTCATGGTGTAACCACCGGTAAATAAATACATAGAGAGGCTTTTGGATTCCCTAGTTGTGATTTTAGACATACCGTATTGGCCCGAATATAAGACGACCCTGATTATAAGACGACCCCCCTTTTTCCAGATGTACCTTTTGGAAAAAGGCTTTTTAAAAACCAAATCTTGTTTTTTCTCAGTAAAACACATTTTGTCTTCAATTATTTTCATATTGCATATTTTGTATTTTAATTTTTGTTTTGAAAGTATGGTAAAAACTGGTAAAATGTACCAACAATCACATTAAAAAAATATACACTTTTTGATATACCATTAAAAAAAAAAAATTTCCATCTGAATTAGGACATTTAGGCTATCCATCTAATAGTAGCCTACCAAAATCTTATTAACAGTAGAAGTTAAATCTTACTGTAGTCTTCAAATCTGGGTACTGTCTTACATTTTAAAATCACAAAGGGAGTTTGGTCCCATCAGGCTAACGTGACAGTCACGACTCATGCAGCTGTAAGGTTTTCTTTTTCTTTTGTTTTTACTCGCGATCTTTACAACACGCATTACATTACGTATTTCATGGCACACTCGTTTTATGCGTATTTGGCGCCACCTATTGTTGTGGAAGACTTTTTGTTGAGGTTTTGATATTTTTTGCTAGATAAGAGTCGGTTATTTTTTTCATATTTCCCATTCATTTCCTATGTCAGTTATTTTTGATCATGAAGGTACCAAATGTTACTTTTTTTATTTTTTTGACCCTTTAACATATCCGGATCATGTTCAAGATTTTTTTTGTGTGTGTTCACATAGCTAATGTGACATAAGACACCAAGTGTCATCCCATTCTGATGAAGCAAAAAATGTAAAGTTTCTAAATGTAACATTTGTTGGTCAAAAGTGACTGAAGAGGCCCAGAGTGTCAAAGTCAAGTCAAGTCAAGTCACCTTTATTTATATAGCGCTTTTAACAATACAGATTGTGTCAAAGCAGCTTTACACTCATGCAGCTGTAAGCTTTTCTTTTTCTTTTGTTTTTACTCGCGATCTTTACAACACGCATTACATTACGTGTTTCATGGCACACTCGTTTTATACATATTTGGCGCCACCTACTGTTGTGGGTGTATTATTGACATGTCAAAGTCTAGACCCTGAATATAAGACGACCGCGTTTTTTCAGATGTATTTCCAAGAAAAAAAACATCGTCTTATATTCGGGTCAATACGGTAATTTCTTACTTTTATTAGGTTTTGCATATATATATACACACACACACATTCTAAAAGACTTTTTGTTGAGGTTTTGATATTTTTTGCTAGATAAGAGTCGGTTATTTTTTTCATATTTCCCATTCATTTCCTATGTCAGTTATTTTTGATCATGAAGGTACCAAATGTTACTTTTTTTATTTTTTTGACCCTTTAACATATCCGGATCATGTTCAAGATTTTTTTTGTGTGTGTTCACATAGCTAATGTGACATAAGACACCAAGTGTCATCCCATTCTGATGAAGCAAAAAATGTAAAGTTTCTAAATGTAACATTTGTTGGTCAAAAGTGACTGAAGAGGCCCAGAGTGTCAAAGAAGATAAAGGCACGGCATGTTTGTTTTAATATGTGCACAGATAAATAATTTATTACAAACACTGTAATATTCCATAAAAAATAAGAATTGTCCTTTTTTTATTTTCAAGGTGTTAACTAGCCTAATGAGATACCCATTCTTTTGTTGTATCATCTTTTGTGAAATGTTCACCAGTGTTTCCTGTGACTGTGTGTGTCTGTATGTGTGTGTGTTGACATTACAGGTCAACGGGGCCAATCTCAGCTCCATACACATGATTGGTGTCAGTTTAGGGGCCCACATTTCAGGTTTCACAGGGGCCAATTTTAATGGAAGAATTGGCAGAATAACAGGTGAGTTCTCCTCCTGAAGCTTCGAGCCGTCGTCAGTTTCGGTGTGTGATTGATTGTGATGTCTCGTGTCTCACTCAGCGCTGGATCCAGCAGGGCCGGAGTTTAACGGTCAGCCCCCCAGCGAGCGTCTCGACCCGTCTGATGCCCAGTTCGTGGAGGCCCTGCACACAGACATGGACGGTGTGTTTCTCACACAACACTGAGACGTTTCTCGAGAAGAGGCTCTTGATTGGCTTCAGGAAACGAGCACTCACAGCCGTCTAGCACTGATGTTTCCAGACGCAAACACCACCAGCATCATACTAAATGAAAATCTAGAGCTAGTTAACTCATCGCTGGCATTTTCTTGTAGCGTTGGGCTATCGTGATCTCCTGGGTCACATCGACTATTACGCAAACGGTGGAGCGGATCAGCCTGGATGCCCCAGAACCATCTTTTCAGGTCAGCTTTTTACCATTTTAATAGCATTTTAATGTAGCCTTGATGAAAATAATATTACACACACACGCACGTACAGTCTGGGATCAATAAGAATTTTAATGGTTTTTTTTTCAAAGTCTCTTCTGCTCACCAAGACTGCATTTATTTGATTAAAAATACAGAAAAAAACGTAATATTGTGAAATATTTTTATAATTCCAAACAGCTGTTTTCTCTGTGAATATGTGTTAAAGTTGTCATATGATGCGATTTCAAGTTTTCCTTTCTCTTTGGAGTGTTACAAGCTGTTCGTGCATAGATAAGATCCCTAAAGTTGCAAAGACTAAAGTCTCAAAACCAAAGAGATATTCTTTATCAAAGTTAAGACTCTGCCACGCCCCCCTAAAACGGCTCGTTCTAACACGCCCCCACATATCTAATGTTGAAAACAGTTGTGCCGCACAATATTTTGTGGAACCTGCAATATTTTTTTCAGGATTCTTTTATGAATAAAAAGTTTAAAAGAACAGCATTTATTCAAAATAGAAATCTTTTCTAACAATATAAATCTTTACCATCACTTTTTATCGTTGAATAGTAATTATTTCCCCCAAAAAAAAAAGTACCGACCCCACACTTTTGAAGCTTTGAACAGAAAACTGTCATTTATAATTGTAATAATATTTCACAATATTACAGTTTTTTTCTGTGTTTTTTATCAAATAAATGCAGCCTTGATGAGCAGAAGAGACTTCTTTCAGAATCATTAAAAATCTTACAGACTTTTGAACAGCAGTTTGTATTTTTGTGTACTTATAACTTAAAAATGTTTGTCAAATTAAATAAAAAGAAAACTCGATTTTCAGTCTTTCAATATTTTAATTTTTTACTTGCTTTCTAACCATACCTCTCTGAATTTTCAAATGTAAAGCATATAAAAAAAATTTTGGAATTATATCATAATTACTTACAAGATGCTACTCACATTGTCAAAATAACATTATTAATAGGAAAGAAAGAAAGAATATCTTCATGCCCCAGACTAACATGATGCTCAGCATTCTCGTCATATTGCATATATTGTATAAGTTGCTCTGTGCAACCTATATATCATAATGTATATATGTATGTATATATGGGTCAAAGACGTTAAGATGTCCGCATCAAAAGAAATTTACAAAAGTGATTTTATGTCCATAGAAAGCACATTAAATGTAAGTAAAGTGTCTACTTTTAAGGTTTCAAATAAGTTTTTGGAGAATAAAATGTTACAATTTGGTTGAAATAATGTTACATTGTCATTCAGTGTAACACAATATTTATGTAAAAATTCAAACATGCTTGTTCTGACGTGTAAATATTAAAATATATAAAAGAATAAGGGAGCATATTAAATTTTATTGTGTTTTAAATGAGTAAAAAATTCTTACTGACAAACGGGCAAAACCTAGGATAGTGGCAACTTTTAAAAATGTAAAGTTACAGCTAATTATTATTTGGGGTGAATGGAATTAGTCTTTTAATATGTCATAAATTGATTTTTGTTGTAAATACACCTGACAAGATTGTTACACTGAATTATATTTTAGTGGGTGTCTTCTGTAAATCAGAGGAAAATGTATGATATTTATTTTTTGCTCAGAAAAACAAAAACAACATTGCAATTAAATTAAACAGAAAAGTTTATAAATTTTTTGGGGAAAAACAACAACAATTTACAGCAGTATTACACTTATTGTTTTTATGCTTAAACACTTTTTCGTCTTTGACCCGTGTATTTATACACTGCAGAAGTCAGTAGGTTTTAAACATTTCTGATTCTTAGAAAACTCCTGTGTAATGCTCCACAGGCTCAGAGTATTTCAAGTGTGACCATCAGAGGTCAGTGTTCCTCTACATGAGCTCCATCAGCGGCTCCTGTCCCATCACCGCCTACCCCTGTGACTCCTACACACTCTTCCGGGACGGGAAGTGCATGGACTGTGGGAAGTTCACGCCGGACGGATGCCCTGTTCTGGGTAAACTGAGTAAGCTCTGAGTTTAATGCGATCGGTCGCCTGTTCTCAGACAGACGTGCTGTCATTGCACTGTGCAGGTTATGATGCTGTGCGCTGGAGGGACACACTGGTGCAGCTGGGACAAACCAGGACATATTTCCAAACTAATAAAGCGTCTCCATTCTGCAGTGAGCATTTCTATTACATTCATTATTACTATCAACTGTGACTAGATTCAGCATTGAGAGAAGATACACTAGCGGTCAAAAGTTTGGGATCAGAATGATTTTTAATGTTTTTTACAGGAGTTTCTTCTGCTCGTCAAGGCTGCATTTATTTGATCAAAAATACAGGAAAAAATATAATATTGTGAAATATTATTATGATGTAAAATAACGTTTTTCTATTTTAATATACATTAAAGTATAATGTATTTCTGTGATGCGCAGCTGTATTTTCAGCATCATTACTCCAGTCTTCAGTGTCACATGATCTTCAGAAATCAGTATAATATGCTGATTTATTATCAATGTTGAAACTGTTGCTGCTTCATATTTTTTTGGAAGCTGTGATACTTTTTTTCAGGATTCTTTGATGCATAAAAAGTTCAAAAGAACAGAATTTCTTTAAAATAGAAATCTTTTCTAACAATATACACTACAGTTCAACAGTCTGGGGTCAGTACATTTTTATTCTTTCTTTTTTTGAAAGAAATTAAAACTTTTATTCAGCAAGGATGTGTTAAATTGTTCTGTATTTTAGATCAAATAAATGCAGCCTTGATGAGCAGAAGAGACTTCTTTCAGAAACATCACAAGTCTCACTGATCCCAAACGTTTGAGTGCTAGTGTAAATATAACGTAACAGTTTTTTGACTCCACCAGAGTTCGGCTACAAGCTTGATATTGTCACATGGAACCAGAAGACACACTGGGGATATTTAACTATTAAATTAAGCAACAGAAAGGAAGAGGCGCAAGTTGAACTCAATCAGTAAGTCCATGAAAGTCTCCGTCTCGTATAAGTAGTATTCCCAGATCGATGTTTTGGATGCTGATGTGTCTCCTCTCTCTTCCAGTAAATCCCTGATGTTTGAGAGGTTTGTGGAGAGCAGCGTTCTGGCTCAGTTTGACCGAGACGTCCAGCCTGTGAAAGAGATCTCGCTCAAGTTCTGTACGGGGAAAGGACTCCGGCCACGCAAGAAACTGCGGCTCCTGCGCATCCGCCTCACTCCTCTACAGAACCACCTCAGGTCTGTGTGCTTTCATCTGAAGCAAGGGTTCGTCTGGAAGTCTTGCTGAAAGTCTGAGCTTCTGTTGTGCATGAATAGAGACCGGAGCTGCTCTGTTCACTATATTATAAGACTTCAGGCCAAATGACAGCTCTGTGAATCAGTTATTTGTGCTTTTAATTCAAGCATGAGACATCAAGGTGTGTGACACCAAACATACTCAGAAGTTGATACTTTTATTCAGCAAGGACACATTAAACTGATCAAAAGTGACAGTAAAGACATTTATAATGTTACAAAAGATTCTATTTCAAATAAATGCTGTTCTTTTGAACTTTCTGTTCATCTGTGGATCCTGAAAAATAAAATGTATCAGTTTCCACAAAAATATTAATGCTTTCAACATTGATAATAATCAGAAATGTTTCTAATAATCAGCATATTAGAATGATTTCTGAAGATCATGTGACACTGAAGACTGGAGTAATGATGCTGAAAATACAGCTGCGCATCACAGAAATAAATTACAGTTTAACAGATATTTACATAGAGAACAGCTGTTTGGAATTATAAAAATATTTCACAATTTTCACTGTATTTTTGATCAAATAAATGCAGCCTTGCTGAGCAGAAGAGACTTCTTTCAGAAACATTAAACCGAATAGAGACAAAGACCAGCGTACTCCTGACAGCCACAAAAACTCTTATGGTTTCCTTCAACTCAATGTTTCAGCAGGCCTCTGTGTCGCTATGATCTTCTGCTGGAGGAAAATAAAGATGTGACGTTCAGACCGATTCCCTGTGAAGACTCGAACGTCTGATCCAGACTCGTCTGAACGAACCGCTGGCTCTCTCGGTCAGTTACTGAAGCAGCTGTCATTAGTCTTTAACTTAAACCGATCTGAAGCGGTTCCTCTCGGGTCAACGTCAGTGTTGTCTTCCAGGGTCCCTTCAGAATTGTTTGTTTTATTCTCTTCATGAAGGGACAGCTACATTTGTTTTTATGTAAAGTAAATAAATATTTTTGTAAATAAATATTTTTCTTGTTCTTGCCTCTTTATGTCAGTGATATTTATGGTATTACTTTAATTTTCTTTGTTTTAACGCTGTTGTTACCAGTGTTTTTCCTACAGGACCCCTTTTTACATCACTGCACTTCTTCATGTTCATGATATACCCATGCATGTATAAATATTATAGCAATGTTAATACATTTCATAACACGCTACCATTTTAAATTTGGGGGTGCAGTAACTTTGTTACGTTTTGTTTGTTTGTTTTCGGTTGATCAAAAGAGACTTTTACATTGTTACAGAAAATTATATTTTTTAAAAAATGCAAGTTCTTCCTGTTCATCAGGCTTCTGAATAAATGTATCATTAAGTAGCACAACTGTTTTTAATAGTGATAATAAGAAATGCAGCAAATCAGCATATTAGAATGATTTCTGAAGATCATGTGACACTGAAGACTGGAGTAATGATGCTGAAAATACAGCTGCGCATCACAGAAATACATTACAGTTTAACAGAGATTCACATAGAAAACAGCTGTTTTACATTCCAATATTATTTCACAATTTTTACTGTATTTTTGATCAAATAAATGCAGCCCTGGTGAAAAAGTCTTGCTGACGCCTAACAGTTTTTTGTTTGTTTTTTGCTTTAGAATCCTCCTTCACACAAGATGGAAAGAGGCTGTTATATATGTGACCCTGGAGCACAAAACCAGTCATAAGGGTCAATTGTTCGAAATTGAGATTTATGCATCATCTGAAAGCTGAATAAATAATCTTTCCATTGATGTATGGTTTGTTAGGATAGGACAATATTTGGCTGAGAGACAACTATTTGAAAATCTGGAATCTGAGGGTGCAAAAAAATCTAAATATTGAGAAAATCATCTTTAAAGTTGTCCAAATGAAGTTCTTAGCAATGCATATTACTAATCACAAATTAAGTTTTGATATATTTACAGTAGGAAATTTACAAAATATCTTCATGGAACATGATCTTTACTTAATATCCTAATGATTTTTGGCATAAAAGAAAAATCTATCATTTTGACCCATACAGTGTATTGTTGGCTATTGCTACAAATATACCCCAGCGACTTAAGACTGCTTTTGTGCTGCAGAGTCACATATAAAGAAGAAATTAAATGCAAGGTCTGATGTTAATTAGTCTAAGCGATCAATGCATCTGATTGAAACAAACAGGTTGCTCTCTCTTTCCAGTCATCGTTCATGGTTTAGAACCCAAAACGTGTTTTATATAACGCTTGTAGCGGCAGTGTAAAGCACCAACACAATATGTGTTCACTGAGTCTGGACAGAAATTCTCAAGAGTTCTTCCTCAGTCTTGGTAAGTTCTTCATTGCACACTTCAGACTCACAGAGGCGTATCTGATGGCTTCGAGCGGCCGATGGAGACCTCAGAGGTGCTCACTTGGACACGTGTTTCTTAAGACGTTCTACATCAATCTGAAGTGAAAGAGCACAAGTGAGCGTTCATGGTACGGTTATTAAATCAGTTATGATAGGCTATCTAATGAACAGTGTTGGGGTAACATTACTTTTACATTTACAGCAAAATATATGAGTTTCATTTTCAAATAAGTATAATGTAAGGTATTTAGTTTTCCAATTTATTTAATTTATTTATGCCTTTACAGTTGCCAAAAATATAACTTTTGGGTTTTTGGTTATTAAAAAACAAATAAGCAAGCCCAGCCCAGGTGACAAAAAGTAACGCAGAAGTAACGTAATGCATTACTTTCCATAAAATTAGTTACTTTTTCATGGAGTAACGGAATATTGTAATGCATTACTTTTAAAAGTAGCTTTCCCCAACACTGCTAATGAATGAAACTGTTTAACATCCAGAGGCTCTTGACTCATCCTCATGCTTACTTGCAGTGACAAACGCATCTTCTTTTCTTCATCCAGTTCGTTCATGAGCAGTTTGATTTCTTTTCTGAAACACAACGCCATTACATTTACAGAAATACAAGGGTAAGAATCCCAAAACAGCATGCATTCATATTACACGAACTTATGCTGAGTCTTCAGCGTGTCCAGTTCCTCTCGTAGTTCTCTTAGCTCCGCTCTCATCTGCTCTATGGTGGCGGGGCCCTGCGGGGCCCCTCGGGGTTTAGCGGCTAATGACGCCGGGAGCGGAGCCGTGCCAGAAGAAGAAGAGCTGCTGACAGGCTCCTGAAAAACAAAATCAAAGGGACAATCCTAATCGTTTCATTTGTAAGCAGTTTGTCCTCTAGGGGCCTCAAACTGTCAGGGCCACAAAAGCCTAGGCAGTGTTGACTCAGTTACTCTTAAAAAGTACATCAAAAGTACTATATCTTCAACAGTGTAATTAGATTACTGTACTAATTGCTCTCTCTAATAAGTAATGCATGACTAAAAAATTAAATAAAATAGTCTAAACTAATTACTTTCTGAATCCCATATCAGCTGTGCTGTGTATCCCAAAACTGCTCTTTTAATTCTTTCAAATTAACATTATAAAACTGCATAAGTTATTCTTCAACTCACCAAAGTATTTAAAGGGAGAAGGTTACATTAAAAACATGCATTTTAACATTAGATGATACATTTTGATGTTAAATTCACTATTGTTTTGTATAGAATTGTTCTAAACTCTATAGAGTATTTAATGCAGTTACATCCGTAATTAAATTACAGAAGAATTCAGAGTAATCCCTTACTTTACTTTTCAAGCCAAAAGTAATTAAATTACACATATATATAATATATAGTTAATATAATGATATATAATTACTATAATTTAATTCAATGATTACTTACTTAGTAATGCATTACATGCAACACTGGGCATTTAGGCATTAGGCCCAAAAAAATCCAGTTTTGAATGCTGAAGATTAATGAAGACTACAATTTTAGTCAACATTTTTAGACTAAAATAGTCTGAACTATTTCCTATTGCTAATAATTAACACTGAAATTAAATTCAAATCGCAATCATGATATATGACACAATCACGATATAATTTTTTTGGTGTGCAGCCTATTAATCAAAATAAAACACTAACATTTATATATTTTATCTGTTTACTTGCATTTAACCAAAATCAGGGAATAAACAATAAATTGCTTGAGTACCTCAAGCTAATAATGTACTTCTGAGGCATTCGGCTGACGGAAACGTTTGGAAAGCCCATTAGGGAAAATCCACAGAACAATGGCTTTTTCTTGCAAAACAGACTTACTGCTGTGTCTGTGTTACTGTACAGAAACTTGAGGGCCAGCAGGTCTGGTTCCTGAGTCACTTCATTCATCTGCTGTCCTGTTTCTTCCTCAGCAGCCTGCAAAGAGACGTAATAAGCACTAAACACTCAATATCTTCATAGAGCATGAGATTTTATTCTCTAGACTTCAGTTTTAGGTTCTAAAATGTGTCTTATCTCATATGGTTTCATCTTAGACCATTTTATTCCAGTAATACTGTAACTTAATATGAAAGCATCACACTGTTTTGTCCAGTATCGGTCATAGCAATGTGTGAGTTGTTAGGATGTGTGCAGTATGTGACTTACACACCAATTAAGACTGAGAAGTTAAATATAACTCAAGGACATCCTGACACAGCGGCAACACGTGACAAAGGTCCTGTCTATATTGGATGACACTAAATGCATGATAACTCAAATGTCACGGCTTGCTCATGCAGACATTTAATAGGTGATAATTGACTTACTGACATGATTCAGAGAGAGCATGTTCTGCAGTCTGCTGTGTTCGCTCAGAATGCGCTGGTTCTCTAGAGTCGACACGATGGACTTGAAATCTTCGACATCTGTGACGATGAGATGCAAAATGTGGGAAATAATGCACACAACACAGTTCTGGGGGAAATAAGGTGCCACCGGACAAACTATCATTTATCATCAATAATAATAAAAAGACCAACATAACATATGCATTATGATTTTATGAGAAAGCAAACCAAGCACAATAGAGCAAAAAACAATCTTAGTTCAAATGTTATTCAAATGCAGCAGTGCTCTAATTTGTATTTGGTCAATGAATGAAGGAACGCAGAGACAGATGTCTTACCTGCAGTAAATGCGTAGTTGCCCATGGCAAGACGAAAAGAAGGGGCTCAAGAAGCTCCAAAAGCACAAAAGATAATAATTTAGATGCACAATATAAAACAATATCTCATTTAAGAATCATTTGGGGTTTCGGTATATATCTCAGCATGTGGAGAGATCCGTTTGCACTTGTAACTCTTTTCAAGTTTGTTTTTGTACTTTCACCTTCTTGCCAGTATGTGGTCACTACAGAAATCTATATATAGCTACTTCTCACACCAACTGTGTTGTAACTGTACACCATCATGACAGAGACTATTGTCCAGACTAAGTTTAGCCAGAACCTCACTCACCAGCCTGATCCGGCCCGAGAAATACAATCTAGTAAAGAGAAGTTAAATCAGACATTGCATTATATTAGAGTTACTGATGCATCTAAAGCATATTATTGTATTTCCAAAGTCCAGTAATAAAACACTGTGAGGTTCGAGGTCTGGCGCAGCAAACTCACATGTCTCTGTTTTGCAATGGTATCTTTCCAGACTACTTCCACAGCAATTCTTCTTCGTGTCCGTGACGGATGATGGTTCTCCAGCTCTTCTGTGTTTCTCTGCTTCGCAGGAGCCTCTTTGACTCCTAATACTCTCTCCTTTTATGGAGCCCTCCAGACACCAATCAGAAGTCATGCACATGTCCCACACATTTGTCTCTGGGATTTGTCCCACAGATTCTTTCTCTGTGTTGTAGAAAAAGTGAACAAAAACCTACAGCCATTTACAGTGGGTACGGAAAGTATTCAGACCCCCTTAAATTTTTCACTCTTTGTTATATTGCAGCCATTTGCTAAAATCATTTAAGTTAAGACTTGTGCATGTCTGATTTTATCACTCACTGTCTTCGAATGATGATGGGGAAATTCTGGGTTTACATAATTTATTTATGTATTTTGGATTAATCAGCCTAAAGAATTAAAGAACTGCTGATCAGACTGGATAAATGCAAACAAATGGTCAGTCTAAACTTTCCGAGCATCTGTCTGGACTCTGACTTTCACACTATCATTCATATTTTTATCAGGTGTGTCGTCTAGGTCCTGAAGTTCAGAAACATGAAAGGAAGCTCTGAGGCAGGTTAATCACACACTCAAACTGACCGAAAGAGAATGAAGAAATACACTCTTTTGTGATTTATTATGCCTTAAACATTTGTGCTTGAAAACAGCATCATTCATTGTTCCAAAATATCTGACGTATAAACTGGTGTGAGACTGGGGTAGTGCAGGCATCAAGCTATGCAAATAGAAGTGCATGCAACTCAACTTTAGCAACGAATTAACAATCATTTTGGACATCATTACATGTATATCATCACTTTCACACACAACACTGAAACTAATATGCAATTCATTTCACATCATCATACATTTAAACGTAAGCTACTACCCTTGTGAAAATTAACCATGGTTTTATTATTGTAAAACTGTAGAAACCATGTGTTTTGTAACTTTTAAACTATGGTTAGCAGTGTTGGGGAAAGTTACATTTAAAAGTAATGCATTACAATATTGCGTCACTCCCTAAAAAAGGAATGCGTTACGTTACTTGTGCGTTACTTTTTCTCATCTGGTATTGGGGTTGCTTGTTTGTTTTTAATATAAAAAGTTCCATTTTTGGCAAATGTAAAAGTTCCTTTCATAGTAAAAGTGAAGGAAATGTAATTTCAACAAGCTCAAATCCTTTCAGCTGTGCTGGAATGCATAAAGAATAGAGCGCAAAAAAAAGTTAAACACTTTCTTCTCAATCACAAAACAATAAAACACAAATGTTTTGTTCATCTAAAGTCATTCTTGCTTATTAGTATGGTTGAATAGGTCAGCAGCAAAATCGTGCGTTTTAATATAAAAATTCCATTTTTGGCAAATGTAAAAGTTCCTTTCATAGTAAAAGTGAAGGAAATGTAATTTCAAAAAGCTCAAATCCTTTCAGCTGTGCTGGAATGCATAAAGAATAGAGCGCAAAAAAAAGTTAAACACTTTCTTCTCAATCACAAAACAATAAAACACAAATGTTTTGTTCATCTAAAGTCATTCTTGCTTATTAGTATGGTTGAATAGGTCAGCAGCAAAATCGTGCGGACAGGAGAGCTGTCAGTCAATAACTGAAGAAACAAAGAAACTGGCATTACTTATTTAAAAGAGTAACTCAAATAATTTCCTGTAAATTAAAAAGTAATGCTTTACTAGTTACTTGAAAAGTAATCTGATTACATAACTCGCGTTACTTGTAATGCGTTACCCCCCAACACTGATGGTTAGTGTAACAAAACCATGGTTAATATGGTTACCATGGTTTAACTATAAAAGTTTTGTTTTTTTTGTATTTGTTATGTGATTGCTAATTTTCGTAAGGGATAAGCTGTTACAGATTCCAAAAGGTACCAAATAAAATATATAAGGTTGCAATGCCACAAGAATTAATTCTTTTTTTTTGTATTTGTTATGTGATTGCTAATTTTCGTAAGGGATCAGCTGTTACAGATTCCAAAAGTTACCAAATAAAATATATAAGGTTGCAATGCCACAAGAATTAATTCAGCGTTATGCACTAAACTATTTAATGGTCATTTGTTCGTCTATTGTTTTAAACGTCTTGTTTACTTTTAAACGCTTGCTTTTCTTCAGCTCGATTATTCACCTGCGGTTCTTCGCTGTGAGAGAAAAACACAAACATGAACAAGAGGATGTTAGCAGAGTCCGGAAGAGCGGCTCGGTTCCGTGTTCGCCGCATCGGGGGAGCTGCTGCAGGAAGCAGCCGCCGGTCCCATCGCCGAGAACGGTGAAAAAAACGCATCCTCCGCCTCCACCGACAAAGCTGCCGGAGATAAAGCTCAGGCCGAGCCGCGCGAGAGTCCTCTGGCCCGTCGCTCCCGACGGCTTCATCCCGAACTCAGTGATCCGGAGCTCGGCGCCCTTCCCTCCGCGCGGCGGCTGCACCACACGAGCGAGGAGGACGGAGAAACTGGAGGAGAAAACAGACTTCTTGACAGAAAGCGTCAGATATATCGATGGACTGATCAAGAAGTACGACAAGACCGCGGAGGAGGAGGAAGCTAAGAAGAAACCCAGTGGTTCATTCGCAAAAATGTGCTCCAGAGGCAGAGGAGACAGCAGTGGCCCTGAACATTACTGCAGCGACAAACTCATATAAATACATTTGTTCGTTTGTTAATCAGTGTCTGGTCCATTTACGTCATGTTTACGTGCAGGTGCTGTGTAGGCTATAATGTTACACACTAGCGCTCAAACGTTTGGGATCAGTGAGAATTGTGATGCTTCTGAAAGAGTCTCTTCTGCTCATCAAGCCTGCATTTATTTGATCAAAAACACTGAAAAAAAAACGTAATCTGTTTTGATAAATGACTAAATGATTACATATTAGTCATTATTACATAATGACTAAATATAAATGTAATCTTGCAAAATGTTATTACAATATAAAATAATGGTTTCTGGTTTAATATCCTTTAAAATATAATTTATTTCTGTGATCAAAGCTGAATTTCCAGCATTGTTACTCCAGTATAAAGTGTCACATGATCTTCAGAAATCATAATAATATGCTGATTTATTATCAGTTGTGCTGCTTCGTGTTTTTTTTTTGGAAACTGATACTTTTTTCAGGATTCTTTGATGAATAAAAAGTTAAAAAGAACAGCATTTATTCAAAATAGAAATCTTTTCTAACAATATAAATCTTTGCTGCCACTTCTTATCAATTTAACACATCCTTGCTGAATAAAAGTTTTAATTTCTTTTTTAAAAAACAAGAAAGAATAAAAATGTACTGACCCCAAACTGTTGAACGGTAGTGTATATTGTTAGAAAATATTTCTGTTTTAAATAAATGCTGTTCTTTTGAACTTTTTAGTCTATTAAAATAGAAAAACATTAATTTACATCATAATAATATTTCACAATATTACATTTTTTCCCTGTATGTTTGATCAAATAAATGCAGCCTTGATGAGCAGAAGACACTCCCGTAAAAACATAAAAAATCATTCTGATCCCAAACTTTTAAACAGTATGTATATGTATACTGTATACACACACACTCTCACACACACACACACACACACACACACACACTCTCTCACACACACACACACACACACACACA